ATAAGCTCCAAACCAAAGAGACGATGATGACGATGATGAATCCATGATTGATCGATCTCGGGTCCGTTGCGTGCATTATGCGCGAGATACGTGAACCAACAGCCCGATGGCCAGGCGACGAAGTGAATACTCTTAGTTTTTTCGGTAAAGTCACGTAGGTAAAAAAATTGAAATTAAAAATTAATAAAAATAATATTATTTAATTTTTATTAATTTTAATCCTTGCAGTCACGAAAGTTTCAAATCTAGAGGAAGTGAATTTCAAATCTTGAATAATATATATAACAAGCTAATGGTTATGCATGTATACGCCGTATACATATTGAAAATAACACTATACAAATCGTGATAGGAATTCAGATAGGAATGTTCATCAAGGCGAACTGGACCAATGTAATCTTCACACAAACTTGGTCGCGGGCGTGGTGGCGGTGCCTCGCGATGTGATCCAGCACTTTGGTACATGAGGGTAGGTGGATCGTGCAGAGATTGCTGAGACTCAGTCGATGGTATTGCGTTGAGTGTATGGACGGAATCCGTCTACACGGAGCGTATCGTGTGCACCTCGTACGAGTGATGGGGTTTTCTCCGGGTGCTGCGGTTTGCTTCCCACACGGAGGACACTCGTACATAACGGATTTGGCCAAACACCCCAATTGGCAACACTCGCCGAGGCTTTCCTGCGTAAACAGAGGGCATTCATATCTGGCTCGCTTTGAGACTAAAAGCGTAGGCAGATATATATACAAGGGTCGGATATGTGAGCATCTGTAGAAAATGGCAGTGACACACCGTTTGTACACAAACAGGTTTCTGGACGAAAAACGCAAGCTGCTTTAAATGGGGAAACGTTATGTACTGTATCCCAGACGTATGCGAATGTTCGCGAGATTGGGAATACATTACTTATGTGAAAAGGTCAGATTTATGAACATATATAGTAGATGAATTAGATCACATGCACAAATACTGTACTGGATGAGGGCAGCTACTTGGTTCGGGCTGATATGTCGCAGCCGGCAATACACATTTTTACCGCATTATTATAATTACTGGTATTGCATTATCCGTAGCGCTGCCACCGCGTTTAAAACGATCCAGCAAAAGTGCAGATTTTTCTTTTATCTCTCAGCAGGAGCCGTTCCCCTCTCCGCTCTATCACCGTCTCCTTCGGGGAAGGACGCCTTGTCGAGACGAGGATTAATGCAGCGCTCGGAAGGAGGACTCCAAATGTGTTTTTGATTTACTAAAAGCTTCGCCAGACAGACCTGTAGCGATGATATCAAGCAGCCAGGGTATTGATCTCATCCACCCCGCGAGAGGATGTCCCTCAATGACTGGTGGCAACAGGGAGGTGCGCAGGGAATAGGGGGTGGTGGGGCTGTGCATTCACTGCCGAATTCACTGCACACACGGCAATAGTTGGGTGGTGGTGGAGGGGGCAGCACTTGATGGCTGAGGTGGCTGAAGAGGGGGGGGGAGATGGGCTGTCTGTCAGGACCCAGTGCACACACACGTGGGGTCGTCCCAGCGGGCCAGATTTTTGTGGCTGTAAACATCAGCTGTCATTACCTGTCTGTGTACGGTAGCGTGCTTTATTTTTTTTTGCTTATTCTAGCGAGCGTGGAGAGGTGCTCCCGTCTCGGGGCTGCGAGAGCAGGAATTTTGCGTTGCGGCTGTATTGTTATTATTTGCCCAGCGAGATGTGTAGCCGGAACCTGCGGGAGCACCGGCGGCGATCGATCCGCCTTAAGTGGTGGTGTGGAACACACAAACAAAAAAACTTTACACAAATTGAAATCACTCCGATGCATCTCGCACGCAAAATGAAACGCGACGAACGACCCTAAAGCCAGGGACGTCATTTCGGATTAAAATGTTATTTTTCCACACCCACCAAACATTACTTCTGATGGCTGCTAATCCATAAAATAAAAATAACGGAAAGTAGAATTGCATATTTGACCATCAAGCCGTCTGAAACTTTTATGTAAAAAAAAACATCCTTCGAAAAAAAAAATCCAAAGCGGACACACAAAAAGGCTATAAAATAATATCTATGTATTCTGCTGAAAGGTAAATGAAATACCGAATAATAAGAGCGAGACAATTATGCTCCACCATGCTGCTTTTACAGCATCGTTGGCCTTTGCCCGGCAATAGTAATGACTGTTCGGGGACCCGCTGATGATCTTATGTGGCTGGAACAGGCATAAGTGCCTCGGTTTAAGAGGGCAGTGTCTACGATAATTGGTCCAGGCTACAAAAGCCTCGCGACAATAAGAGCGGTAATTAATAATTGTGTGCGCTGCGGGCATATAGGGGGGAATGGGTGGGTTGGGTGGAGGGGGGGCTAGTGGTGATGAGGGCCGAGGTCACGGGGGGCATCGGCGTGCAGCGATGGGCGTCTTCAAAACTTCGCCCTCGCTGCCGGTAAAACCGGTGGAGAGGCGGGGAAGGGTGACCTCGTAAGGACGCGGAGGGGGCCGCTTTACAAAGCCTACGAGACCAACAACAACAACAACCAAAAAAAATTGATGGATCAAATTACACTGGTCAACAACAAAAAAATCATTTTTTTCTGGCCTGGACTTTTGCAGCTGTTTTAGACTAATTTCAGGGTGCTGATTCCAAATCTGATCTCAGATTTGCTCTTTCACATCATTTTTATGCTATCGGCATACCCCATTTTCATTGATTTTACCCGAAATTAACTCTGTCACTTATGATTGCAAGTTGTTGCGAGTCAGTGACTGCTTTAGTGTTAAAATATGGTGCTGTATTTTTAGGATAGTGTGTTTATAATATAATTTTATGTAGATTTCCACATTTATTAAATATTTTTCTTCCGCAGTTTTTATTGAAAATTCAATATTTAATGTCTCAAAATCCTGATGTGATAGACAAAAACAGATGCCAGATTTGGAATCAGCACCCCCAAAATTACCTTAAAATCGTTGGAATACCTTATGCCAAAAAAAGTGTGTTGACCTGTGTAATTAACCCCTCTGCTTGCCACGCTGCCCGCCCGCCCGCCCACCCCGCACCCGCCCAACGCTGAATTGAGCTCATGGAGGCGGCCACAGATAAACAGATCGATGTGGCCATATCCGCTCACTTTGGCGGTGGAAAAGCAGCTCCGAGACTCGTGCCGTTCCACCTCGCCCGCAGCCGAAGAGCTGAGCGCGGCGGGGGGTGATGAGTGGTGGTGGTGAGTGGGGATGGTGATGGGCCCTCTGTGCAGCCGTGGAATCCGAACGCAACGCAGCCCCATCGCTTACTTATAGCGGCCGGAGAGAAAGATTGTTATTACCGCGGGTTGCAGGTGTTGTGCATTATAAAGCTCGGGGTGCACTCGATCAATTTGGCTGCAAAAGAGGACGCAGCGCCGTTGCATACAGTGCTGCTTCAGATAAATAACGCGCACTGTACGCCGCTGATGAACGGTGCGTTGCACGCCGCGCATGTACGAAGTGTCGTGTGAAAGAGATACAGGATTTATAACAACAACAACAAAAAAACACCCTAAAGGCACGTTGATAACGGAGATGCGTTCGGCAGCAGTTGACGCGTTCGGCACCGACAGGGGCCATCGGGCGTCGAAATGCAAATGCCTGTGACCAAATCACCAGAATTGTACTCGAATCCGCGAGATATTGGGAGCTAAGCGGGGGATTTGTGGCCTGCACAGTGCTCGGATGGGTGACCACCTAGCACAGGCAAAAAAACAGGTTTAGTTGGGTATTCTTAGGTTTTTTCGGTAAAGTCACGTAGGTAAAAAAATTGAAATTAAAATTAATAAAAGTAAAATAAATAATTTTTAATTTCAATTTTTTTTACCTACGTGACTTTACCGAAAAAGACCTAAGAATATGAATCCTTGCAGTCACGAAAGCTTCAAATCTAGGTTTAGTTGGGCACTGCGGGTCGTGGAGAACAATTGGGCAACAAATCCATTGTTCCCTACTACTTGACCAGTGTGGTGAGGAATGGTCAAATAACCCTCGCTGCCTGCACGGGGCACGAGCAGGCAGTGGGTTCACACTCGGGGTTTACGTGAGCACGTGGTGAACGCACCCGCATGCCGAGACACTTGACAGCAAACGAAGAATCACATTATGGGTGGAGTGGGGGGTTGAATGGAAGTCATAGCAGGGCAATCTGGGAGAGAGATAAATAGAGAGTGGCACAGCCCAGGACTTACGATTGGCACGGTTGGCTACGTACGGTGCTGAAGAAGTTCAACGCACAGCACCACCACCACCACCACCAATGTGCCTAAGCGATAGGCGGGGCAGCAAGGGTAGAATAAACGCAGTCCTGGGGCATCCTCAGGAGGCCAGGGAAGCCAAAGCCAACGAGAAGAGCTCATTCTAGATTTGAAGCTTTCGTGACTGCAAGGATTCATATTCTTAGGTTTTTTCCGGTAAAGTCACGTAGGTAAAACATAAAAAAAGTAAAATAAAATAAAAATCACGACGTTTCGGAGGCAACACAAGCTTCCGTCCTCAGGTGGGACCGTCACAGCCACGACAGCTGTATCAAGTAAATGACTAGTAAATGACTTGATACAGCTGTCGTGGCTGTGACGGTCCCACCTGAGGACGGAAGCTTGTGTTGCCTCCGAAACGTCGTGATTTTTTATTTAATTTGACTTTTTTAATGTTTTACCTACGTGACTTTACCGACAAAACCTAAGAAAATGAGAAGAGCTCATTTTTTTCCGGACGAAGAAAACTAATCTTAATAATGGAGCACAAACCGGAACAACGCAAGACTTGAGCACAAAAAAGCAAACACAACAATTTCTCTCGTTTGCATTCTTTGCGTGTAAAACAACAACAGTCGGGGAGTGCGTCCTGACGCGACCACAAAAGCCACAGTGCAGATGCCGTGGCCTGCAAGTGGCGGCCGTCGTGGTGGCTTTGAGACCCATTAAAGTTGTGGACAAAGTTGAGACGAGCTCAGCTGTTTGTGTTTTATTTTCTTTCTCGCTGCAGTTTGTGGGGGACACAGCTGGAGACAGGGACAAGCACAAGCGGAATGGCAGCGGCTTGACCGGTGCAATCGTATAAAAGCCACCCAGTCATTTCCCCTCCCACCTCCAGGCCGGCCATCTCTTCCCTCCTTTTTTTTGTAACGACCAGACGAGAAATATTCCCGGTCTTTCGGCACTTTACTTCGTTCATCATGTCGTTTGTTTGCCATTTTTATGTTTGCTTATGTGCTCCCTTTTTTAATCAAAGATATAACGCCGGTTTCCCGTGTAACATTAGTCCCATTGTGTGTTACTGTGTTCATAGACACCAACAAGAAAACAAATCACCCTCAAAAACCCATCACCAGATCCCCCGCTGCTGCGCTACCAGCAGCATAGCGGCGAAGGCACCTGCCTGACCTCCCTCCCCTCCCTCCCCTCCCCCCTCCCCTCCCCCCTCTCCCTCCACCTCCCTCCCACCCTGGCTTCCCAACCCTCAAGATTTGAGATGACAGCGCTGCTTGCTCAGCAGCAGCAGCAGCGGTAGTCTGACGACGACAACGACGACGGAAATTGTTGAGCATTTTCCGTAAAAAAAAATAGAGAGAGGAAAGAGAAGGGAGGGGGGACTGGTGGGGTGGAGGCTGCTGGGGGGGGGTAGGGGGGGGTAAATCAATTTTAATGACAGCGGCCTCTCACGCTTCCGCCCAAAAAGCTCTCCGATTGCTGCTGTCGATCGCAGGCAACCGTACGGAAGTGCCGATACGACTCATCTGGGAGCCGCGGAAAAAAAGCGCTGTGGCTGCACACGACGTCGAAAGTAAAAGTATAAAATTAAATAAATTATGCCAAATCGCGCGTCCACACGCGCGTCCGATAAACATATTGGCCAGGGTAAATGATCGCTCCTTGCTGCCAACTTCTCGCAAATAATTCTGCATTTTTAACAGCTTCTGGCTGTTACTCATCATAATCATCACCAGACATGATCAATCCACTGTGGATGATGGCCTCCCCAAGGCAAGGCCATCTCCTTTGATCCTGCGATATAATAATTCCACCTAGCAATCCGCACAAGAGCTGATTTAATCGCACCACCACCACAACCATCAGGGTGGATATATGTTCATGAGTGCTCCATTCCTTGGCTGCCCCTCTGTCATTATTTATTCTTCTCGACCACCAACCATCATCCCCGTCTAGCGACGTTGCCTGCCCAAGCTCGCGCTTGCTTTGCGTAACAGATTTTTTTTTTTTATCCTGCCACATTTTCGGGTCACGAAAGTTTCTGATAAAAAATAATAATTAACCCGGAATTGGCCGGTGGCGATGCGTATTTTGGTTTTAACCCGAGGCACTACGCACGAGATCGGCATGCTGGGTAAACATTCACTTTAGACCAATTCAGCGATCAGGAAAAGAAGCACAATTTTAAAGGTTGCCCGCAAGGATAATTAAAAATACACTTCACCTGTGACTTGATGGTTGGATGGAGCTTCCTATTTAATTTATCCTGCAAAGTGCTGCATTTTAAACTTTTTTTCAATTGAATTCAAAGTCAGTGAAGCAGTTCTTTTTTTATTTATTTTTACAAATTTATGGACTGCTCTCAGGGCCGTAAGTACCTGGCAACGTTCACACGGGCATAATGTTTCCGTGGTGTTCAGAAGTAACTTACAACGAGGGCTCATCTTCTTGGTTCTTTCGGTAAAGTCACGTAGAAGGGAAGTAATAAAATAATTTTTAAAAATAATAAAAATAAAACATAATAAAACAATTCTCACGACGTTTCGGCCACAACGCAAGTAGCCGTCCTCAGGTGAAAACCAGGTCTGTCGAGGCGACAGCGTCTGAATGAAACAGCACACGTGCTTGGAGCCTCGACAGACCTGGTTTTCACCTGAGGACGGCTACTTGCGTTGTGGCCGAAACGTCGTGAGAATTGTTTTATTATGTTTAATATTTTATTATTTTATTACTTCCCTTCTACGTGACTTTACCGAAAGAACCAAGAAGATGAATCCCTGCAGTCACGAAAGCTTTAAATCGAAACGAGGGCTCAGTCCGCTGCTGGATGAAGGACTCCCCATGTTGCCACTATCCCCCACAGTCTTGCGATGCTACGATCCAACTTCGCTCCTGCGCACGTGCTGATTTCATGACTCCCGTCTCTGCGGGGCATGTCCTTTTCGGGCGCGCATTCACTTTCGGATGAAATTCTCTCACCAAATCTCGTCCATTAGCCATCATTCCTTCTAGCGACGTGGCCTGCCCGTGGCCTGCCCGGCACACATTTTACTTGAGAATCAAGATGGTGTCTCTAAGTTGCATTTCCTCTCTGATCCATGCGCTTTATTTTCCATCTCTCAGCGTAATTTCCAGCATGTCTCTGCATGCTTTATTGGTTACTTTTCAGTTTTTGATCCATTTTCTTTGGCATTGTCAATGTTGTCGTTCTTCTCCGTATGTCAGATTTGATGATCAAATTTAGCTTTCCAAATGCACCCTATCCTGCTCTCTTTCATCTCATGTCATAACTTGAATCCTGATCTTCAGTTCAGACCAGCGTGGGGAAGTATGGCCAAACAACCCTCCAATGTGGGCACGGCAAGGGGAGGGCTTCATCCTGCAGTGGATTAACAAAGGGACTCTACATATATACTGCATATATTTTGGATCGTTGCTTTATTTTATTCATGGTACCTTTTTGCCAGAATCAAACATTTATTAAACATAATAATAGACTTACCCTTTCTGGCAATAAAACAGGTGTTAAGATGTTGAAACACCAAATAGATACCTTTTGCAATGCATCAAGTCTGCGTGAGCCACACGTACTTGTGGAAAAACATGCAAGTAAACATGCTCTGATAATACAGGGTGTTTTAAAACGATGGATCCGATTTGAAATCGCTATATCTCTCCAACTACGAACCGCCCATGAATGAAACTCTTACCACTTGAAATGGCGGGGCATAGAGAGGGCGGGGCATAGAGAGGGCGGGGCATAGAGAGGGCGGGGCATAGAGAGGGCGGGGCATAGAGAGGGCGGGACATAGAGTTTCAAATTATTACTGCTGGATGCCTCTCCCAGCGCACAAACAGCCCCTAGCCGCAGCCATTCGCAAGACACACTGCCTCAACGTTGGATAGGTCGCACGGGACCGCAAGACTTGGCGCTACACTCTTGGCCCCCAAGATCCCCAGACATCACACCCTGCGACTTTTTCTTGTGGGGATACGTCAAAGACCGTGTTGTTTTTGTGCCACCATTAGCGACTAATCTAGATGACCTCAAAAACAGAATCACGGCAGCGGTGACTTCAGTGGAAGAAGACACTTTGAGAGGCGTTGGGGACAAATTCAACTATCGTCTCGATGTTGTCCGTACAGCAGGTGGAGGGCACATAGATCATTTATAAAATGGTTAGTAAATTTGATAACTCATTAAACCGTTTGTAATTTTTCGTGTAATTGTAACATGTTGCCATCGTGAAATATACTGCTTTGAAATTGAGTCCATCTTTTTAAACGCCCTTTGAAACTGATTGGTCTACACCAGAGACAACCTTCTTTAGGGCCTAGTCACACCAGTGTCAGATCAGAGAACGCCAAAAGGCGAACAGTACAAAGACAATGCACGTATCGGAGCACGTATAGCTCGTATCGAGCAGTTATTTAAATAAAAAATAAATCTTTAGTATCATTCTCACAAACCAAAATTGTAAGTCGAGGCAATATTTTTCAGCGGATCCCTCCTGCAGAGCTGATGCAGCAGAGAGAGAGAGAGAAAAGCTTTAACAGAGTAAACAACCCGCAGCTTGATAAAGCGGAGGACTATTTCGGGGATCTCAAACAAACGAAGAGGAGCGGAAACTTTAATCGTATGCGCGGCCTATGGGAGCGGACGGAGTTGGGACCTGGAGAAAACAAAAAAAAATCAGCGGCATTAATTCCGGCACCGACGCGAGCCTTTGTTGAGCGGATACATTTGGGTTTGCATCCCTGTGGGTTACCCGTGTAAACACGGGGAGGGCCTGTCCGTGCCTCGCAGGCCTCGCTAAAGGAAATTCCCTGCGGCGAAAGGTCGCAAGTTATTTTCTTACCAGCAAAATTGATTTAAATTTAACAAACAAAAAATGCACCGACAGACAAGGAGCGGCGGTTTGATAACGAAGCCGAGCAATGATTACGTTGTTGCGCTCATTTTTTAAATCGGTGCGTGCACGCTCTGCGTTAAGCGGCATCCAATGAATTAGCGGAGCGGCAAATCCACTTTTTTTGCAGCTAACGCGGCGGGATTGACATGCAAACTGTGCCGCTGTCGGCCACGGACGCTGCTATTGACTCTCGGTGCTTAATTGTGTTGGCGCTAATAAATGCACCGCTCACAGCCACCGCCGCCTGCTGCTGAAACTGCTTACTCTTCTCACAGCGGCGTTCATTCTTCCTGCTGACAAAGAAAAAACAACAAGCCTTAAAGTTACAATTTCCCCTCCCCCCCTCCCCAACTCCCTACACCACGTGTAACTGCACCCGCCTGACACGTAGCCACGTGTGTGTGTGTGGGTACAACAATCACACGCCACCTGCCACATACAAAATAGTTCGCAGATCGGCGAAAATAAACAGTCACGACCAGAAATCTCACGAGTAGATGCGGTTTATTGATGGCAAATTAATAATTTTGAGAATTAGAGGATGCAAGTAACTTAGGGACATCGTCGTGTTGACTGTTGGGGGAAAATAAAAACAAGTAAACCCGCAAAAACAAAGTTTCTCACTCTAAATCCTTTATATGCGTGGCGGCTAGAGTCCTCTCGTCCTCTGGCTTGAGATGGCTGCCACCTATGGGTCAGATGATTGTCTGCCAGTATTAAGCAATTGGTAATTAAATATTTAATTTGTTTTCCCTAAACAGTGTAAAATTTTGGAATTTTTTTTCACGAACATTAATTGTCTCGCACAACGAGTCTGTGTGCAAAATGTCAGCTCGATTGGATCACGGGAAGTGGGTTAAAAAACGACCGAAAGGTTTGCACGGTCGTAAGCAAGCAAGCAAGCACGCAAGCAAGCAAGCACGCAAGCAAGCAAGCAAGCGAACTTAATATAAAGGATTTAATAATAAGAGGGCTTGGGTAGAAGGGACGATATCAGCGATGGAAAGTAAGAACGGTGAGACAGCCATTGGAGCAGTGTTATTCACTCATTTTCAGAGGGGTGGCGGGGGGGGGCACTTTCGCGGATAAGACATCATCAGCGCGAGGGCTGCCACACCCGCCTGCAAGGGGTTGCTTTCACATGTTGTGTATTGTCAGTCAAGGGAACACGCCCGAAAGAGCACCTCCACTACGGGAGATAGAGCCACACAAATCGACTCATGTGCAGGAGCTCG